AGCTTTTCAACTAGATAGTTGGTCTGCCCGCACATTCTCTTCATAAATTTGTATTCGTCTACTAACATAAAACAAGCGGGTATCCGTTGTATCACCTAAAAATTAGGCCCCATGGTATCGTGGCATATAATACATCGAGACATTTAAATTGGGCTGAGAACTAGTTCGATTTTAAACAGATCTGAACCTCAATCGAAAATATTCTTAGCAGGTGTTTGACTAAGAGCTCAAGTGCCTCTAAGATTAGTTGCAGAGCAGAAATTCACGTCATGCTGTTGCAGTAAATGCCTTTTTCCACTGCTGACGGGCCTATTTGGGGGTCATAGATCCTTGAAGTTGTTAAGAGCTGTCTAGAGATGCGACTAAGATAGTTGTCGTCATTTTTTTCCCGCCGTAGAGAAAAGTTGACGTGTCGAAAGTCTTCGAAGATGAGTATCTACCAGTGAGGGATTTCGTGCAACTAATAGTAGAACAGATGCTGGATAAAAATATCTATGATAGATACTGAAAGTTGACATAATACTAGACAACTTTTGTCGAGAAGACTGAAAATGGAATATGATATGACTGCTGAGGGTGCCTAAAAAAGTGTACGAATCCTTGCATATTGAGGAATTTGGCGTCCAGAGTTAAGATGGTCAAGTGGAGATAGGCGTTTTTTATGTTTATTGTCCTATCGAGTCTATAGATATAAAAGGACGTGTAGGTACTTTCTCACTAGGACAAAAGTATTTATACCTCAGACACTGTACTCTATCCTATGCCTTGTTTACTACTTCTTACAAGAAATAATACACCCACAGGTCTTCGTTTGAGTACAAACTTCGAGAAATCATCACAATTTCATAATCTCTCTTCTTTACCCAACAAAATGATGGACATCTGCGGGTGTATGGCTGCCGAGAAAAATCACAAAACCCACTGAGTGCACGGCACTTCTAATACCAACATAAGGACTAAATCAGAAGGCACAGTGCCGCTTCAGAAGCGTTCGAAGAAGCTGGCCAGCTGGGCGCTGCAGATTTGTAAGTATCTCAGGAAATTCACACTCTACCTTTATAGCTTGCTTCCAAACTATACCGAAGGCCGTGATTAAATGTCAGAAAGGTCTTGAACAAGTGTGATTGCTATATGATAGCCTAGCCCAACTCTTTTTGTACCGTCTGGGGTACTGGAGGTGCCGTAGACTCATCGATAATAGAAGTCCCCCTCGCTCATTACCTGGAACAGTTGTCTTGACGCCCACAAACATTACAAAGGTGACAACTACTCAAGAATTTTGGTCCAATCATGCCCATTCGCGACCTCTTTACTCGATCGTCACACGTCCCAGCAGTCTATCCTCCTCAAATTGCGTAGCCCTATTAAGGCAAAAATCCTCCATAAGTCAGACTTCGAAGTTTGTATATTATGACTCACTTCCTATTTCCGGGTATACTTAGCCTCGTTCATTGGATAATGGGTGATGACCTGTAATAAATGGGGCAGGCCCCTGTTTGTAATTGGAGAAGCTATTTGGTCTTTCGTTGAGGCCAGGTGGTGTGTGTAGAAATTGAGCTGGAGCATTTGTGTAAGAGTTATAGGACCGATATCAATGAGAAGTCACAGATTTTAGATATGCTTGGGTTTGCTTTCGACTTCGATTCGGATGCAATTCTCCTTGGCTATTCCAAATATGCTTAGCATGCTGAGCGATTACACTGACACTGCTGGAAGGCAAAGAATTCGTCTTTCACGGCGCCATCATAGCTAGTGACGTGGGAATTATGTGATTGGAAGAGACGACCTCGTCAGCGAGCCGAAATTTTCGACCCTTTAGGAGGCAGATATCTTTAGGTTTGCTTTCGTGCGTAATTCTTTGCCTGCCGGTGGGTAGCTTATGTTGGGATATGACTTAGGCTTCTCTGGCCACTGTTATAGCGTATTTTATCGCAATATAGCTTCTCTATCACAGGGCCATTATCGTCATCTTGATTTTTGTAGGGGTCATCGGAAGGGTATATTTAAGGCTGGGGTGATGATTCAACTCATAGTTGAAAATTTGTGACCTCATCTTGTTTCTTGATAGACTACAGTGAAAGCTGGAGGCTGTTAGGAGACATTGTCGGTAGATATTGAGAATTAGCCGCTCAGAAGACTAGCGAAAGTTTTTGAGGCCGAGAAGCTCCTAGGACGATTTCAGTTGTGTACGTCTTATACACGCCTCGGTCATGAAACAGGTAGAGCGTATCATGATTAGTTCATGGGAGCTCTAGAATAACGACGAGCCCATACCCAAGCAGCTTTTCCGTCTGCCCTCCGCAATGACATCCAGCAGACGGGAAGCCCCGCGCTACGGCGCATGTCATCTTTCTATCTCGGGGATGGAGGCCGTGTTACAAATCCTTGCCATCAACTTCTCCATGGTATTACAGCCGCAAATACGTCCCTTAGTTTGGAAGAAAAAATGATGTCAGTATTTCGAGCCTGTCAAAGGAAATTGCCCTCCCATATAATTAAGGAGATAAATAAATGATGGTTGAGAGCTCTCCAAACAAAACTTAATTTCACCAGTCTTTTCCACTCACGACAATTGTGATTGAGGAAAAAAATAAACGTCAGGGTCCCGAGCCTTGGAGACACAATTTTCCTGGATGAAAGGTGTTTCTTGCTGTTTACTACGCGACCCCAGATTAACTCTCCGTCATCACATCAGAAAGCTATCGCAGGAAATCCAAAGTAAGGAAAAGCCTGCCAATAGACTGCAAGAGAGGGAGTAGATGCCGAAAGTAGCGCGAATTCAAAGCCCAAAACCTCACAAGTACAGTGGCCAACCTACCATCTGGTGATAGCTCCCTACATGACAACGAAAGAAAATACGCAACGCCTCATCGTGCAGCATTTCGCCCAAACCCAAGATGGAGCGCCAAGACCAAGTCATATCAAAGTCTCGGCCATTTTCGGAACCTGAGCGCGGATTAAAGACTAAGGGAGTGCTCAATGCCCTCCGCCAGCCGGACGCGTGTGAGGTCTAAAATGTCGTGGCAATAAGTATGCGCCATACCTTCACTTCTCTAGAACCCGCCGCGGGATTTCCATGAAGACAAAAAGAAGAGGCTCTCACGCACACCGAGCCTCGACCTAATCTCGTGAATGGATGAGCCATCGTTAGCCCGGGACGATGAGTGTCCTCCTAGAATACCCGGATCGCAACAAGCCCGGAATTAGAGGCATTTCTTTACCTTAAATGTTGTATTCTACCTATTCTTTCATCTTCCGAACATGTGCCAACTTTAGCAACTTTTGAAGTCTGAAGTTATAGTTAGCGAAGAGACATAGCTTTGGGCCATGCTATACTAGCTAGCACAAGGTAATGACTCCTCTACTTCAGACCTGAAAGGTCGTGACCAACATCTTAGAAGCTAGTAAGTCGCTTTGAGGGGCATAGACGAGGAGCAGTCATGAGAAGGGACGGGAGCGATAGCGAGTCCCATGTTTGTGATAGAGACTTGGGTAGATGAAGAACCGGGCTGAAAGATTCTAGAACTTGCTAATTAGTGATCAAAGGTATCTGTTGGGATAATTTAACATGAAGCAAATAAGGTTTTTGCGGTTGTGCTGATGGATCTTCTTCCTCTGCTCTAGTGTTCTAAAACGGATTATGCTAGAAATAAAGAGAGCTACTTACATAAAATCAGGTGGTTTCTTGGTTCCTAATATTCCATCAGTTTCAGTAGTCTAGTTATTACGATATTTTACGAAGGAGTTGTTACAAGCTTTCAAGGTCTTAAAGATAGCCTGGCTAATTCATACAACAGCCATAAGAAATTCATGCCCTTGGCATGGGCTCATAAGACAACCAGTAAACCTCAGCCTGACTCTGCGAACCACAAAATATGCTAGAGTTGTGATACACGAGATGACTGTCGGACCTGTCGTACGTCAAAGAAACTGTGACACTGGGTGACGTGTTAACCGAAAGAATCACGCTTCTTAGATATCCAATTATATGACCCTTAATGTATTACATAAATCAGGAGGTGATGTTGAGATCAGAAGAGTAGAACAAGGTTAATAACTGAGTCTCATTTAAGGTTTGAGGAAAAAAGGCTTCGGGAAATTAAGCTGTGGCAGCACGGATAAAAGTACAAATCAGGAGATTAGGGAAGAGTTGTAGACAGTGAGTTAACCTTCTCCTCTCGTATCATGTTTACAAGTTGTTGGATCTCTCCTATCACGTTAAATATATCAGATCAAATTAAATCTATCTTCCTCAGCTGAGACTGAGCGGCAACCAGTATATTCGGTCGAATAAATTATTAGGATAGGGATGGAACAGAATACGTTGTAGTTCCCATAAATTAGTGCCATATGGCTGTAAGTATTTTTTGATTTACACGTATGCGAACGAGCTATCAATTTATTTTGCTCTCGTGGCGGCCTTGAGCTAACGCAACCTAGCGATCAACGGGTAGATCCTGTTCCCTGCTCCTCAACACAGAGTTACTCCTTGAAGATTTTGAGCCTCCATATTCCTAGGCCTCTTGTTGTGATGAGTTGAGCTTGTACTGTTTCCGAGTCCAACCTATTTTGTCGGCCAGTCCATATCATTTAGGGGGCGTATTTATGCTGAATGTAGCTTAGTCGGTAATCATATTTTGGACGTGCTCGTGACCCTAATGTTAACTTTCCTTCCAATACATCGGGCCATCAAGATGATAGTGGGGCTATGCTCAGTATAGTCACTCCACGACCGTTGAGAGTAGGCATGACCAGCCATCGCCCTATGCCTTCGAATATCAAATCGATTGTAAGGAAGTATCAGTCAATCCACCAGGGTAAATGCGTGACGATGAAGGTTTTGCCTATCATTTAGTCATGCATGTTTTGTTTCCATTAGTTAGGCAGAAGGGTGTACCTAGCCTGTGCTGCTGAATTCTCGCCGAAGGGCACAGATGTTCGACTTAGAATGGAAGAGAGTGATGTGTAAATTGGGTGGAGAATGTGTATATTTTTTCTGCTCACGACGTATCATCCCAATGCTCGGGCAACAGTACGCTAGTTGAATTACTCGGACTAACGAGACGGGGCTTTTTCCAGCAAAGCTTGGCACCCATCTTTTTCCAGCTACAACTTCCTTCACCTAGTGAATGATGGTAGGAATGACGTGAATGATGACGTGAATGATGACGCAAATGATGATGACTTGTACTGCCATTCGTTGAATTTTTCTCGACTGGACTGCTGTGAGAAGTCGGTGGCGTGTGAGGTGGCGTTACAAGCTCGGGAATGGTCAGTGTTTCATCATCAGTCAAGTGTTCCGTTGACGAAGAGGCTGATGATGTCCAGAAAAAGGCTGAGCGGCGGCCAGACGTCCGACCGGCAGCATTAAGTGGTGAGCGTGAATTGGCGCTCCAGGGAGATAATGAATCGGAATTAGTGCGCATTGGGCTGCTTATCTGTGACTTGAAAGGTAGAGAATCACCACTCATATCAACAGCCGATTCACACGACGTCCAGGGATCTAAATGCGGGTCGATAGTTGATATGGGAGTAACGGTGTTAAGAAATGGCACGAGGACAGATTCTTCCATGAGCTCGTAGATAATGCGGACAGCAACCACTAGTTCCTTAGGGTCAGGGGAAGTGATGTTGTTTGATAGGGAGACAAGATGGTCCCGCACTTCACCGGGTAGGTTGACTTCTCGTGGTGCGTTGGGTTTGATGTAGGCGTCGAGTAGGCGCTGCCAGAGCTTACGGGTGTGTGCGATATCGTGTGATGAGGACGGGTAGACTGAAAGGTGTGATGTTTGGGCTTGCATCTTGTGGTATTGCTTTTCATAACGAGCGGCATCCATGGTAAATTCAAGCGTTTCGAGGCAATGATTTTGAGACAAATAGGCCATGAATGCACTGAGTGTCCATGGTGATGGAGCGATATTAGAGAGAACGTCTTGAAGACTTGGCCGTGGAGGGCAGTGAAAGCCTGTTTGAATTTGAAGAGTTCGGGGCCTGAGAGAGGCTTCGTTGCCCGCCATAGCCAAGCCAGTATTTGTATCGCCCTTAATTCGAGTCGAGATAATGGGGGTGCTTGTGGGCGATGGTGTTGATTGAGATGAAAAGTGGTGTCTAACAGCTTTCGAGAGCTTGAAAGTATGCATTCGTGGGGCCAGAAGGTATTTCATAGAAGCGATGCCTGACGTCGCGCAAGAGGCGGAGACGAGCAAGAGTAGTCGTTGAGTCTGACTTTGAGCATTGATTGTGTGAGGAAGGAGCTTGTTTCGAGTTTGATGTTCGCGTTGTTTCCCGCGTCGATTAGTTTGAGGAAGCTGGAGCCGGCGACAACTAGAAGTGGGTCGACAATTACAAAGCCCTCCTAACCCGTGTCAGTCGGGGACAGCAGTACCTGGCTTATACGACTAATCTAACTCGTGCTAGATCAAGTGTTGGTGGGTGCCGCGATGTGAGACGGTAGGTAATAGGTAGCCCGGGGTGTGTGAAACAAGAAGTTCCTTCTAGAACGTTTCGGGAGACGCAAAAACTGTGAAAGAAGGCGAGAGCGAGAGCGAAAGCGATACCACAACAATAATGGCGCTGATTCTGACTTGGGGGGTGTAGAGAAGAGTCAGGGCGATGGTAGTGGCGGGAGCAACGAGTAAGGCTAAGTCGCAAAGGAAATGGCTCGTTCAAGGGCAAGGATGCTGAGGCGGATCGTGAATAGGAGCCGGAACAGCCTATCCGTGGCGAATAGTGATCTAAGAAACAGGCTGACTGGCCCTGGGATAAGACGGCGACGGATGAGGTGGAGGAAAAAGAAGATAATGATGAGTAAGAGAAGGAGAGCCCGGGGATGGAAGCGACAGATGGCGATAGCTAGATGAGAGGTGTGGACAGAGTAGTAATTGTTGTGTCATTAATCATGAGAAGATCAGAAAAAAGTGCAGATGGAGGTGATACGTGAGGATCAGGTTATATATAGATCGTTGTTTGGGAGTAGGAATAGGAAATAGCACTGAATTAACAGAAGCATGCGGGAAGGGCAACTAAAGGTAAACGGGACCAGAACAGACCGATTGCATCGACCGTGATGGGACATCCAGGTGGCGGAGGGATATGCAGCCCAGGACCAGTAGCCGTGGTCGCAGTAGGAAACCGAAGGGAAAGTGGCCGCTGCAGCGTTGCAGTGCGTCCGGTGGAGCCCAAAGTGCGAAGATAGCATGAATAACAGTCGCCCCAGCTTGGGGGTGTCAGGAGTGGCCAGAGCCCAAATTAGTGTGCGGTTAGAGAACCGTTAAGCAGGGAAATCTACGGACCCTGTGCTAAATATGGAGGCTCACAAGGTCACCGTAACGGAACGCAGACTCAGCATTGCTGGCTATACAGTGGGGAACATTGCTGTACTGTTCCACTGAGCTATTTGAAATGCTCCAATAACTTTAGCACATTTACTATTCAAAAGCGTGGTCAACATGGTAGACAGTCAAGCGGAATATATGTCAGTGCCTATCTACTACGCTTAACCCATCGCATTTTATCTACTCACACCTCAGACTTGATAACCTTTCATGCTAGGCTTAACGCGGCACAGTCGTGGAATCATAATCATGTGCCTGCCTGCCTGTCGCAGCGTAGTAAGGGAGGCGTATGATGCGCTTCATTATCCCTGCACCTAGCCGCTAGCGCAAGGCCAGACAAATCTCTGCCACCTCCCACCGACTACCCACGCAGTTTTCTAGCCCGAGTTACCAGGGTGCCTGTTTGTCTCCAACCCGCGCCGCTGATACTCTCCATGTCACTCGTACCCACTTGACCTTCCGGGCGCACTAAGCCGTGTTGTAAAATGTTCGCCTCTCCCAGATGACGGAATGGATTGGCCTGCCCTCGATTTCGTGGAATATAGCGACGAGATAAAGAACTTAAGGCGGGACGGGCACCATCTCTCCAAAACGTGTAGCTTCATTTAATCTAGTGCTGCATCTTGGGTAACTTACTCGCTTATTCTCCTTTCAAGATGATAGTGACGAGGTCATCTTCTCCACCTGCTCATTCCGGCGGCCGTCATTCTTCTGCCAGCCCGGAATCACCGTAACCAGCATACAGGATGTATGTATGCGTGAATCCTAGAGAGTGGATACTTTCGCTGGGGCAACGAAGAATAGATGGCGTGCATCATCAGGTTGGAGATTAAAATCGTCCGGCCCTGGCCAGCTCTCCTTGTAATGAGCTAGAAGTCAGCTAGAAAAGTCCATGATCCACGGAACCGTCAGGAGCGGTTCCCGAGCCAGGTAAAAGACTCCTAGTCCTCCCCTCATAATCGGTTAGCCTGTCGCACAAACAGAAGAAGCAAAAAGGGAGGACTCGGTCTAAAACTCACCCAACTTGTGCAGCCGTGCGGACAGGGGTCAAGCTGTCCGAGGAAAGGAGCAGGGCACCTTTTCTCTCGTGCGGTGGCTCAATCTTAGATAATTATTTGGAAAAGGGCATTGCTGTCTGCTAGGAAATAAATCCAAGAATCTTGCGTGTTAGAGATCCTTGGTTTCCGACGACTCAGAGTCAATCTTAATCAGCTAGCTGCATGGAGATATATCGAGTTGGGTAGCTATGGACTTGGAATACCCATCGTGTTGTCGTGGTGCGCCATATGACCAAAGTGGGCGATTATTAACCAATACTGCGCCCCGGCTCATCAAGGAATGTCCGATAAAGCTTTTGATCGCCATGGGCGGCCTTAACTTGGGTGCACTGTCCCCATGTCTGTCATGTCTTCCATCCGGCCTGCATGAGCGGCGCCGTCAATGCTTCGAAACGGACGAGGATGAGCGAGATAATCGCACTAGAATATTCTTCTATCCTTCGTTGAGGCCGGGCCAAGTGGACATGGCACAGACGTGGCTGGGTGGATGGATGCAGACTTCCTGGCTCTGGCTTCTGAGTCGCTGCAACAATTCCGGGTACAAGGTGGCAAGAATAAGTGGCAGGGGATATATACTGCGAGTTCTATAGAAGTAATGATGGCGTTAGCCCTCTGACACCACAACGTTAGATTGAAGCGTCAATTACTGACGGCAAGTGTGAGAGGATTTCAACAAAACTATAGTTGTGGGAACTAAATGCCATGAGGACTGATTATGACAGGTTCAACTGCCCTCTCCATGATTGGTCTCTCTAAGCGAAAGTGATTACTGACGGGGGAACGGCGACAGCGCACACAAGTCCCAGTTTGCTCCACCCCTTAGGGCTGTCGAGGCAACATGCCCTCTGCCATACCGACCGGGGAGGTACATACTTGCCTCAGACCTGGTGCACCGGTAAATTCGTATATCTGGGCCCTATTCGGACTGGCAAAGAAACACTATTGAAACCTACATATAGCATGACTTGCTTTCTACAGCGAGTAGCTGGTAATGCTCTGTACCAACTTGGGCTTTTCACTCGCCATTATCTAGCGGCCTAAAAAATTGAACTTCGTTTATGCGTTGTGAGTAACTAGGCCGGTTTTACATGAAGCAGGCCGGCACAAACAATCCTCTACCAAAATGAATCCGCATGTCTCTGTATTGAATACAGCATGCAAGACAAAAAGACATTTGGTCGACACAGGAGTCTCTGGAGCTGTAAAGAAGTAAAGTATTCTACGCGGACGGATGATGCAGTGATTCACTAATCTAGGCTGGTCCCTTACAGAGTTTTGATTGCTTGAGCGCCTCTACTAATTCAGATTCATGATCGCCGATTCAAATTCAGCCGAGCCTCATCATATGTTCTGCGGCACTCATACGCAGGAGAACAATAACTCAACACCTGTAATTTTTGTGCATCACTAACCTTCACTTCTCATGCGAGTCAGAGACTGAGAAAGGGCAATAAAAATTACAAAACTTCTCATATAAGAATACGCAGAGCTCAGTTCGAGTCACACCAATCCCACCCAGCGTGAAGATCTAACTCAAATATACGCTTAAGATTACCCTTATGATAACTTAGACAATGATATTGAGAAAAGACAAGAGGAAGGTTTATGTGGTACTGAACGCTACAAGAGTAGATAAAGATTCCATAATTATACCGGAAGATATGCTTCCTGCTGGTGGGCTAACAAAACTGCCAAGAAATCAAGACAACAAACCTTTTTTCTTCGAAACAAGGAAAGTTCGAATTATCGGGATACAGCTTCTCTAGAAACTAGAGATTCGATCTCAAAAAGAAGAATGACAGTCGAATCACTCTAGCTTCTCCACTACCTTACTTTCATGATCATTGTTACTATGCCAGTCTACTTCACGGTGGTTGCCGTCAAATGATGTTTTCGACGTACCATCATAACCTGCGGTCTATCCCACAACGCTAACAATTGAGAGGGGACAGTAGGAGAAAATTAATGGTAAGGCCCGCTATCAGCAGTGCATAGGTATACTGTGCTCGGATGGACAGTATGTCCAAAAACTTCTTTTTGGTAGTTATGTCTCCGCTTCTTTGACTGGAGTGAGATAAAAACGGTTCCCCTCTGTGTCTACTTACAAGAAAATATGTGAGTGTGTTGTTACCAGACTGAGAGCATGGAGAAGGCTTAGTAGGTGGTACAACACCCAGGGCATAATTACTCCCCCCAGCCTGTATCTAAAACAATCCATGTATCCTGACACAGTTTAAGGCTGAAAAGAGCGATAAATTGATATTAATTAAATACTCCTTATACAAATTATCACTGGCATACTTTGCCAGCTTGAGGTTAAGGGAATCTTCTCTGATAGATTAAACCGGACCTGGATCAACTATGTGGTGTAGATAAATTTAGAGCATAATGGTACTTACGAATAGTTCTCGGTCTGTCGTAACACTATTGTCTTTTTTGTTAACTACTTGGTGTCGTACTAGCTCACAACACAACCGTAGTGTCTTGCGCTAGCCAGCTCAGTCTATATAAACTACCCAACATGCCAACGGTTTTAACTAAGTCTGATATATAATGAAGGTGCCAAGACTAACCTGCAACGCACTCTGAACTGTCAAAAGAGGTCAAAAGAGCTCATCTGCTGGGACACAAGTTTTTCAATACAGTATAGAAGAAACTCTTCTATATTGAGAGAATAATTATCTGTTACCTAGACAAATTATCGATCTGATCTCAAGAAAATGCAGGTCAAGGGTTAAAAGGCTGGAGTATCAGCTTGTAATGTTGTTGCATGCTTCGGAAAAGTAGTTATCATGAAGTCATTCACTAAAAGCAGTAGCTCCTTCAGGAGAGCCTGGAATCCAGGGAATTCCCGACACTGAGTTTTCAGTGCCGCCGTGAAGCTGGAGTAAGACTATTATTCAAAGTTTCATTGATACGTATATGAGATACCGCTTATTTGTAACAGATATTTAGATGGAAATACGTTCGGCTCAACTTTATGATGTGCTAATGCACAGCCTATGACCAGATCATAGGTAGCCAGAACTGTAAACAAATATACTAGATTTTTTGTATTAAATTTTAGCAATTAACGTCGTGCCCGCGCGCAACGCTAGAGTCACATTTACAAACTTGAATTTCATTCATCTTCTCATCAAGTGGTAGTCAATACTTATCTGGCAGGATTAGATTAGATTTGTGTTATAGTCTTAATCGAGTCAATGACTATGGAGGACTCCTAGAATCTATAAATAAGATACTAGCTACACTTTTTAGTTCCAATTAATCGGGCAGGAGACTTTCCCGAAAAGGTAACAAGATTCTGTCTATAATCAAAGTGATAGGGATAATTCAAACTCTTTCATGAATTTTCGACGATATTTGTATCTCTCTATAGGGCCGATGCCGAAACTACAAGCATGAAAAGCAAGATCTGAGAAGATCCGGTCTTTCTGATGATAGTTTTACCTAGGTATTGATTGGAATAGAAATTCATATGCTCGAAGATCAATATTGGATAACCGACAGTTTTTTCAATGATGAAACTAGCGGCTAAGCGTGGTTTTGGGTCGGGAATGCTGATAAAATCATGGGTGAAGCTAGTTCTATCAAAGGGATTAGCGGCATGAAGGGAAATATCGGGAACGTATCAGGAAGATCCAACAGCTTAGTTTTGATTATGGCTCTGGGCCCAGGGGGGGAACTATTCTCAATACCTGTCAGTGGTGTCCTTTATGAACCTCCAGCTCTCACTGTAAAGTCTGCAGAGCCAAGATTGAGTAACAAAGTCCTCACTTCATGAGAATTCCTAATCTTTTTCGAGGTCTGTATCGTCTTAATCTCTCGACACATTCCCCTATCACCATTATCACGAGGCTAACCACGATCAGATCAGATGGTAGGGTCGAAGCCCTTCTCGTCACCAACACTTGATCATGGAGGAAAAGCCATCTGATGAGTTTCCGGAGCGTACCAAGCACCTGATACGGAGATGGTTGATTGGATCAAGTCGGCCTCGACTGTTACAAAGAAGAGAGATATAGATGAACATGCGCACCTCATATGGTCCCGGTGATTAGACCTCACCTGGCTTGGGCTGCATGTTTGTTGAGAATATTTCCCGCGCACGCAGTTTCCACTTCTACCATTTTTATTTTACTGGGTAGAAGGTTCCGTACAAAAAGCAGCTGAATTATATAGACAATTCCTAAGCTGAATGACTATTCATCACTAACAACATATCAATGATCTTACAAGTACCAAAAGATGATAGGAGCACTGTACAAATTGTGGCCTGGACCAGGGAGGAGCCCAATGTGCTAAATAATCTAGGACTGAAGTAGTACAATAAGCATACCTCTCTTTATTTGGGCCTAGGAACGTTACGCTGCCCTCCAACGTACAATTCACCGACGAGCCCGGTAGAATAACAAAAGTTATATTTTAGCTAACGACTAGTTTCACGTTTGCAACAGTTCATGACAACAAATATTTACAAAGGGCTTACCTATCAACTATTTCCATAATTATCTCACACCCCAGCGATACGCCCCCCTGCCTAGGAAATCGTGAGCAATACCATGAGCGGATCTTCAAATTAGAGCCTGGAGGACCACGCTATGGCAGTTGAGTTTGGATCCCGACTGTCAAATACGACCCAGCAGTACGACGAATAGTTACCATCGAAGATAGTCCGGTGATCCATTGTAGCGGAGTGTCTTGGAGATCATGGGAATTTCGATGACCGGTGCGCGTGATGGTCGAGGTCGGACGGCCTGACATGTCATTAATTTACAAGAGTTGTCATTTAATCCACTCGTTGGTGTTAGGCATTCCCCACATAGAATTCAACTGGGAATCGGAGTCTTAGCTAGCTTTGCCATACCACTAAATTCTCAAACACGCATCCATTAAGTCCTAACATACTCCAGGCAAAAACTATTTCTAACCTGGATAACGAACCACACGTGAAGTCCATCAAATTCGTCCGTCAAGGGACAAGATTAAAGAGGTACCTTAATAGCAGCTTGACCTGACCTGACAAGCAGTCAATACCATCTCAGCCTCAGATTTGATGTAGATAGCCAAACAATGAAAAGATCCCGCCGCTGCAAGGCGCTTAAGCAAGGAATATCCTTGCGATGCGGCTAGCATACCAAACGTCTCCACCCCTGTCCTCGCGCGCCACATGATCCATTCGACTACATGAGCGTCTGGAATGGGGTAACTCCAATCGTAGTTCAGATACACAAGTGATATAACCATTGTACGATTATTCGTTAAGCTTATTTAATTGAGGGAGCTCTTTATTTCAGATAGACCGCAATTGATAATGGAGAGTGAGAGAATCGGAAAACTACTGGTGACGCTAATTAGGATCCTATATCTTGTTCAAAAGCAATAATGATCCCAAAGAGGACTCTGAGCTCGCCTATATCGTTTAATCATCAACTGCTCACACGACTCTGCTATCACTCGTATCGGGTGCACCTAACAGGGACTCGGACGTACTTTAACAGCGCCGCTGATCAAATCCAGTCAAAAATGAATAACACCTATCCCAGCTCAGCTTCGTCATTTTCAGAATACCGTCGGCGACAAAAAGTTCGATCAGCACGACGGTCCCCGAGAACCTCATTCTTGGATGCAAGCGCAAGTGCCAGTGCCAGTACCCCTCAAAGTTCTTAAGACACCAACAGACCAAACTTTGGTAGCGTCAGCTGGTTATTTACGATATGAAATTGCGTATCCCCCTGCAAAACAAACAGGCCCAAGCTTGTTGAGCCATGTTAGCCTTAATATAGTCAGACCCCTGTCAAGACGATCATGGTTAAGACGATATTGCCGTTTATACGATATATTCTCCGTAACCAACTTCGTTCCCATACATTTACCGATCACACGATTATCGTTCTTCAGCCTCTGAATATCGTCCTAACCAGGGTTTATTTGCTCGATTGGTGCTAGCAATGCCGCCAAAAAGGGAATTTCTGTAGAGCAATGATGTGCTCTGCGACGATGAGCGCACCACCAGGTCACAAAACCAAGACAAAAACAGTTTTTGAGTGGTTCTTCGCTGAGTACGGCCATCAATTAAGCCAGTCCACAGTCTCCGAGTCCTTAAATAAGACCTTCGCGAAACTCGACGAAGCTAAAAGTACTACTGCGCTACGATAGCGAGCTGGAAACTGGCCTGATCTTGAGAGTATTAGAGCGATTAAAGACGGCAAATGGGAGTATAAAAGAGGAATCAAAAGTAAAAAGTAGCCTAGATAGCTGGATTATATAATCACATCCTTCTAAACGATATCCTCTATAAGACGATATTTTTCACGGCCTTAATTACATCGTCTTAACAGGAGGACGAAGGCTGAACCCCTGTCAGTGGTGTCCTCTACGAATCTGGGAGTGAAATATTCTCCCAGAGCTGAGATTCAGTCACGACAATGGGTAAATTTGAGAGTTTTAATCGAGTTGGCGATCGGGAGGAATGGTGTTGGCTCATCTTTGGTCGAAAATCCGACTTGCAGAGATTTCACGACTGCACAACTGAACGAAATCAACCATCTAAACCCCAAATTCGAATCGCAGACAAGCTATCACCTGTCTGGTGTTCTTATTACAAAAACCGACACCTTAAACATCTTATTTTCTATTTTTCTGGAAAATCACTCCTAGCCAAACTCATCTCGCGGCCCTCTCAACAATCATCTCACCACCTACCTAAGCAATCCCATACCTCCAAAAGCCAAATCGCCAATAAAGAAGCAAGAGGATGTCCGACCCTACACAACTGCTAGTCGCTGTGAAGGTAAGGTCGAAATACCGGCCTTAGATGCGTCCTCACCTCGGCCTAGGGCACCAAAAACTCGACTTGCGACGAATCGCCACCGATGAAATACGTACGACATTTCGCCGGCATACCAACAGAGAGTTCGACAAAGGCTGGGGCATCGGTGCTTCGGTCTTGAGCTCTCAGTCGCGTTTTCGACCTCCACGGTTAGGGGTATGGCAGCGACGGGGCAAGGCCAGAGGGGTGGACATTCTACAAAGTTTCTGGGACGACGAGATCGACTGAAGGACAGAGGGATGCTGTATGAAGGAACTAAAAGGGGATACAAAGTGAGGAGGCCTCCAGTGAAGAAAACGACCCCTGGATGAGATAAGGAGATGCTGAGATGAGCCAAAGCTGAGAATGAAGCCAAGGGAAAAGTTATAGACGGCGAAGGTATCAAGCGCTCGGGCGCGTGGTGGCCGAGGCTGAGGAGGAACTTGTGCTTCGGCGCGCCAAAAGGGGGTTCTCTGGACGGTTGGGCTTGACATGATTCAACACATGGGTGAAGTCTGAGGTGATCCGGTCATTCAGGTGGGACAAGGCACTTGTACTCTACGGTAGTTAACCGGATCCCGCCCGGCCCTACCCGTGCTTAAGCTCCAGCAGGAGTGCAACGGGAATCACTTTATCTAGCACGTAAATGAACAAGACAAGACAAGACATCGTCTTAACAGGGGTCTGACTGTACTTCACAACCGCGGCTTCTAGCCCTAAGATCGGCGAGTGCGCTCGTATCCACCAAACTTGGGACAGGCCAAGGAAAAAGGTCTCTTGTGTGAGCTACGGTAACTAATACAGTTTATGATAGGGGGCTGAATTATGGACCTACTAGGTCTATACAAGAGTAGTGTAGAGATTATTTGCATGATTTTCTAAATCGAATCGCAAATATACGGATGAAGAGCCATCTGTTATGGAATAACGAACAGTCAGAACTACCAATGATCATGGGTTTGATTTTGTCATCGACAGGAAGACTGACGGATCATGATGGGGCCTGAGACTTTCACAAAAGAAAGTCTTAGCCTCAGCGGTAATATACAGCACACCGACAGAAGTACAATTGTCGGGGTAGTCACTTGGAATATTGCGACGTCCTACACCGAGTAAGAAGGCGCCTTGGGGGACTATTCGCAACACCTGTCAGTGGTGTCCCCTACGAACCTCCAGCTCTCACTGTAGAGTCTGCAGAGCCGAGTTTGAGTAACAAAGTCCTCACTTCCATGAGAATTCCCAGTCGCTTTCGCGGTCTGTATCGTCTTCATCCCTAAGCACATTCCCCTATCACCATTATCATGAAGCTAACCACGATCAGATCAGATGGTAGGGTCGGAGCCCTTCTCATCACCAACCCTTGGTCATGGAGGAAAAGCCATCCGAAGAGTTTCCGGAGTGTACCCAGCACCCGATAGGCAGATGGCGGATTGGATCAAGTCGACCTAGACTGTTACAAAGAAGGGAGATATAGATGAATATGCGCACCTCATATGGTCCCGGTGATTAGGCCTCGCCTGGCTAGGGCTGCAGGGTTTTCGAGACTTTTTGCCGCGGCACGCAGTTCGCGTTCCTACCATTTGGTTTTTTTGGGTAGAAGGTTTCGTCGAAAAGGTGGCCGAATTCCACGGGTAAACACTGAGCTGAATGGCTATTCATCAAGGGGAATATATCAATGATCTTTCAAGTAACAAAAGAGGATAGGAGCACTGTACAAGGTGTGGCCTGGGTCAGAGAGGAGCCCAATGTGCTAGATAGTCATAGAGTCAAGTAGCACAATAAACACACACACACACACACACAAAATAACAATCAATCATTCCTCATGGAGCTTTAGCACGAGTGGGGCCGAGCCGGATCAGGATAACTACTGTAAAAGTATAAAATCTCGTCCCATAAGAAGATCGGAACCATGCCAAAGTGTATCGATAAGTTAAACTAATATTAAAGCTTGAACAGCTTTTTTTTCGCTTCCCTGGACATATTCCCTAAATAGTCGCTAGCTAGTTGATCCGGGTAGAGTTTCCAACGCCTTCTAATTTGCAGTCGCAAAGTTTAGGGTGCTTTTAAACACTGTAAGAGAGAAGCTACAGTGTTTCTCTGCCACAGTCCTAGTGTAGTGAAGTTGTTGTATGTGGTAAGCGATGGTGGTATACCGCAAAGTCACCCTGTCCTGTCCGAGCTGCGATGAGGCGGGCACAGACAGCACTGAGGAGGTGAAACTCTGGTGATTTATTACGCCGCGTCTCAAGTTGGAGATCTGTTTCTCATGTTGGCCGGGTAGAGTCCCTCCAGTTTTAAAGTAGTCTTCTCGTCGATTCGCGTAATTTCCACCATGTTGACGCAAGTGTCATCTGGTCTGTTGTAGTCGCGGCATCATACAGCGACCTTATCCGCCATTTCTTTGCCAACCAGCCCTACGTATCTTGGGGTCTATTCTACCATTACTGGCGTGAATACCTTTGTCGCCATCTTCCGGAATTTTTGCACCCACCAGGGGAAACAATGTTTTTCCAAAATTAGAACTTTGACTGCCCCAGCATAGTCGAGGAGAACTTAATTTGCAATGGCTCGCTTGTCGCGGCAAAGCTACGATCGAACGAAAACAAAAAGTATGAAGAGGAGAAAATATCTTGAGGTCGGGCGTGAGGAGGAAATTGCGCCTCGCTTCGCCGCGTCAAATTGGGTTCTCTGGACGATTGGACTTGACATGTTCGAAACATGGGTGAAGTCTGAGGTGTTCAGGTCATTAGGTAGGACGAGCTCTGTGTACCGAATGGCAGTAAAACTAATTCAGCCTGACCCCACTCGTATTCAAGCTCCCACTGCGTAGCACGTAAATCTGCAACTTAGCAATAAGCAACACAATAGCCAGGAGGACATCCGTACTAGACGACTTACTCAACATCACGACGTCTACAACTACTTCTGGATACCAGACTAGGCTAATTCACGGCAATTTCTCTCGACCAAGACTTTTCTTACGCCCTTCCACAATCTTTGGCTTGTGCTGCAGTCCCGAAAAGGGGAGCAGTGAAGGGGAGTTCTGAATGGAGAAATACGCTCTTAGGTATACTCAAGTCTGCTACACCTGGTGCTCCTGGCTGCTCGGTCTCGTCAAATGCTTCGGGAGGGAAGCCATGTTATGGAGTCAGTCCTGAGGTATTGAAAGAGCCCCACACCTAGTGAAATCTGGGGATTTACAGGTTGCGAAACACCCGCCAATAGCCTTGGGTTCATTGACTGGATAGTGGATATGATGGAAACGGGCTCCTTCAAGTTTATGAATGAATGGGAACCTGTGTGTGGTTATACTACTTGAGGGCAGCTGTATAGAGGAGGCACCGGAGGGGATATACTACTCGCATAGTTATCCTTAACCTACAGGCAGGGACCTACATGTCCTACATAGTCTTTGGCTGATAAAAGATAACATTAATAATGACAAGGGACCTCGATGGGTGGAATAATTAACATGTAATCTGCTCTCCCGGGTGAACCCAGAACGAAGGGCGATGGGCTATTCGTATACTTCATCCTCACATCCTAACATCCTAGTCGTAAAGAGATGTCTACGTCCCTCCATTTACCCCACAATCCAGCATATAGTTTACCACTCTTTCTACCTCCAATCCTGAGCCCTAGAAATTGCAGCTTAGCTAGGTCCCCAGTTCGGCGATTGAACTGTCAGCCCCTCCGCGCCGACCCACCTCCATTTTAATTCCTTGCCTCCACCCCGAAAACCTTCGACAGTATCCGCGCTTCTGGCCGGGATGGTGAATTAATTGCTCGAAGATTGAGAGGAGACAAGGGGCATTTAATATGCACTGCTAGTTTGCGAGGCGACGTTGAAGGCAAGCTATAGCTAAGACATATACTCGCCGCGCTTATTTTGGAGTCAGCGTCTCGAAATAGAATAGCCCTCATATGCATGTCGCGTCTGCGCCTATCTTGAACGTGATTCGTCGAGTCCTCAATCACCCAAATTGATCTTCAATCAGAGTCTAGTATAAGACACAGCATATATACTAATATATCAAGCAACTTTTGTATTAGTATGGTATTACACTCTATCCTGAAAATTGACCTGGCCTTTTAGCCTGTACGCCCTGCTTCGCTTTTGCCCTGTGCCTCATCCTCAACTCCTTGTTCACACTCCGTCTCTATCTTGCGCGCGGACAAGCCTTGGGCTATGTCTTTTTTAAGATTCTCTATCCATGTTGATGTGGGTGGCGCCACCGTCATCGATTCGCCCGGGGCCATAGCGCGAAAGAGTCGATCCTGTTGATACACTCTCGCAATTGACCGGTAGACGAAGTCATCGGGCGTGTAGCCCGCCAGCTTAAGTCGACGTACGGCGTCTCCCGTCATCTTGGCGTTCTGAATGCGTGAATAGCCTGAAATAAGACTCGTCCAGGTAATATTATCCGGCTGTATATCTCGGCGCTGCATCATGATTAATACCCGCTCTGCCGCTCGTGTAAGTTGCAGACGCATAAATATCTTGACGAGAATCGACCATGTAAAGATGTCAGGCTTGGCGGGTGTATGAGCCGCTCTATTACCTACTGATGCCACACCTACATCATTGCGTGTGGGCGAAATCATATCGGCTATGACGTCGGGCGCATCCTTTGCTCTTTCCTCATATTTATAGTAGCACATCAAAATATTATTATAAACGTAGGTATTCTTTACCAGCGAAGCTACAGCTGGGTCGCCATTGCGAACGAGCTCCCTGAAGTTTTCATAGAATATTTTAGCCCCATGCGCACTAACTACACTGAGAAAGCCCGTGAGCATGACGCTTAACACGGCAGAAGTAGGGATCCACGGCGGATTTGATGTCCTCAGCCTATTTGGGAGCGGATAGACCTCGGAAAGTCCTGGAATGATGTGAGTCAAGGGCTCTAGCTCATAGTGTTCTACATAAACCTCTAGCATCTTATCAAATACAACATGACGACTATGCGCTGACTCAAGCTCTGGTCTCTTCTTTGACATCATCCTTTGGTGCAGGAGCAAAATTGTGTGAAGAACATCCGTTACAATGTATTCGCTAGTTTGACCACTTTCTCGAATAATATTCATAATCCGCTGCATGGCAACGGAATCCATTCGTTTCTTAGCATCGTTTAACAGTATTGAGTAGGTCACAGTATCAGGCTGAATACCTGAATCGACCATCACATAATATACATCCCATGCCTTCTTTGGCTCAATACTTTTAATCGTACTATACAGTAGCACATTGTAGATGAAAATATTAGGCCGCACTCCTGACTTAAGCATGTACTGAAATATCATTGACGTGTTACAGTTCGTACCCGCAGCTAGGCTAGACTCGTATAGAAGAGATGTGCATAAGCTAAGCACATTCTGTCTATTAATCAAACAGCCAGACTTCATAAGCTTTTGCATAGCTTCAAAAGCCATATCAACCTCCCCAAGCTTGGCAAGTCTTGATATAAAGTGCATGAGTGTCCACGATGAAAGTTCTTGTTTATCAGTATTGGAAATAAAAGTATAGAGCTGAACCAGGTATTCTCGGGGTAGATGAGAGAGTAGGATGAACATGGAGTGGTTACTGAGCGGTTGGAACATGCTGGGCGGTAGACCCAGAATAAACCGACATATTCGAATGGCATTATCTGAAGGGCATTTTTTATGATCTAACTTAAAATCATGGACAATGATGCAATGTAGGGTATCGGATATGGCAGAGAAAAATATCGGTGATGCAGTCGACGTCGTCTCTAATATCGCCTCCAAGACCTCCAGAGCTCGATCAAGATGGTAAACTATCAACTTTGCCATAAATTCTGGCCATAGAAACTGCCACCGAAGCTTATCGCGACCTTGTCCATAACAAGAAGTTCTGTCAGAGAGACCTTGCAGAATAATCTGGAAATCTTCATCTAATATGCGCGGATGTTGAGATTCTGGATTTGTCTGTCGCTCATGTGTAGGAGAAACTGGTATCTTATGATCAGTCACTCTATTAAGCCAGGTGACAAGTTGGCACCATCTAGAATTAAGCCAGTCCAGCTGCTTCGTCGAAATACGCCTTGAGGATCTAAGAAGCGTTGAACTGTGTTCGAGCTGCGCCAGGTAATCCCGAGAAACTATATCAGCCTCATTCACATTCCCTGCCGTTATCTTCATGCTGTCATGATCCGATTCTGAGATAGGCGGTCGTTTGTGGCCAGAAACTACCGCATGATGAATGCGACGGGCCCACGGCCATGGTTGAGAACGCCCGTATAGGAAAGGTGGTCTAGGAGACCTCCAATTAATGAATAAAAGTCTCTTCAGCAACTCCTGGCGAAGAGGCATCTGCTGATTACAAGCATCAGCTGGTCTGTTGATTAGTGAAGTTCAGTGTCCCGTCCTATTTTACGCGGCAAATTATTTTTGCAGGGTTCCTTATCGACGGAGCGCAACAATGTCCATATTTTATCGGATGGCGCCCGGTGCATCGTCACCAGATTTTCTTACCTGCAAAACCCACCTCTAACCAACAGCATGTTAGAATCCGTTTGTTGCTCCAGTCAACATCTTTCTTGACTAGCCTTTCTTATCGGACATAAAGTTTTCTGCTCGACTTGCGGTCGCGCTTCCACCAATACCAATCAATAACTCAATCGCCTTGGGTCTATGAACAATGTCTTGTACCTCATCGGCTGAATCCTGGAACACAAAAAAGAAGATGTTTCATCTGTAGATCTCAGCTTAAATCTCTATGTGGCTCTTTAACAGCAATTTCTGTACACGCCGACAACAAAAAAACGATAACTTAATACGAGGCCTCATCAAATGTCACTTTTGATATCTCTAGCAGAGACCCTAACACCCTAAGTCATAAAATTAGCTCATCTGTAAAGCCTGGCTAACTTTAAATCCTTCAGACAAACCCTACACCATGTAAAGTACTGCAGCAACTTTTGAGTATCTAAAGCCTCGAACAAACTGTTATATCCATAATTTTTATCCTAAAAAATTATCTGGTACATGCTGCCAATAGATGACTTCCACCTACTCGGCAGCCTACACGTCGATAACCTGACTCAGAATCTGACATAGATATAAATTACAGGAAAATCAGCGGTAGACATTAGACACCCACGAAATCTTCCGAAGATAGGAGAATTTACTACTAGGCCGATAATTCTTAAATCCCAACATCTAAAATGTTAATACTATATGGCGTCGACAAAATACTAGAAATCAGTAACGGTGCTCCGGCAAAGGTCTCAAGCATAATAGCTCGCTCGTCTCCTCTAAATCGTACTGAGAAATATTGGCCTTGATAATTTTCGGTAGAATTTCAGTATCAGGGCTTGGTTACCGCTCAAAATAATATAACAAATATTTCCAATCTAGTCCTACGATATATTTTGCAATCGAAGCAAAAAAACATTCATTCCATTCCAGGGCTTCGCAAAGCAAACTAGAGCAGATATCGTGGGACTATTCTCATTTTCGCGAGTCGACTCGTTTCGTTGCCCAACTAGGAAATCGATATATCTTATGGAAACTGACATTTCATGATGACACTTCTACGTCATATAAAAACTATGTTTCGCATCCCGAAAAAAAATCATTACATATGCCTTACTAAGTCTAGGACTGTCCCGGTAGATTGGACAACAAATTCTCGGCCTTATGTATCCAAATCGGGGTAGGCTCAATCAGTAACTGAATGGTCCGCTGGGTATAGAGGATGAACTAAACTAGGACTTGCTATCTACGTCCGCTAGCGTTCACGAATTCCTTGCCCTCAAAAAAAGAGTTTTGATAGCTAATACAAGGCTAAAGTTAGCCGAGTGAAATTTTATCTATTATTTCATTCACAAAACTCCTTACTAGCTTGGTGTGACAAGGTTCCAAGTTTATATACTTTTTAGCATATCCTATCTATCAATAAAATTTAAATAACTTAATTTTTAATTTATATTGAGATTCAAACGATGGAAGGAAGACATAGATTCATTCACTAAAGTACACCTAATTCTACAGCACTCGACTGGTGGCTTCTCAAAAATCACCAGAAAGATGGTGTTGTTATCACTTATATGTATGTATGTATAGTCTCGGTTATAACATAGTGTAAATGCGGAGCAAAGACACCGAGGTGTTCGTCTAGTCGGCGTCCCAGAGAGACGCCAAGCTAAATACGCGAGAACCAACCGAATTTAAAATCTTGCGGCAAGACTTTCCAGTCGAGGTTAACGGTGTCCCACTGCGGACACGAAATGAAGGGGGTTGAGATGCCAACAATTATGCCATTTTCCGGGATATAGAGACGCCAACAAGAGCACGAATCCCAGGTCTTACGATCAATAGAATTTGATGGTTACATGATGGAAGGGAACACCAGCGGTTAAAGAAAAATGGCCGCACTCGCAGAACAATAGTGACTAGCATCTCATCGGAGGCAATGCTAACGGAAGTAGTCTGAAACAGCCTAGTAATGAACGCCGTGCTCTTCACCGCGCAGGTGTGGTCCCTGCGATCTCAGCCAAAGCAGTGTTTCAACCGGAGACGGTGGGGACACTCACAGGCGTGGTGTGGAAAGACAGCCAGGTACGGTGAGTATGCTGATGCTCACCAAGCTCGGTGCTATCCGGGGAAAATGATTTCCTGCGCGAACTACGGCAAGGAACATCTTTCATGGCAGAAGGCAGCGTGTCGGTCCTACTGGTCTACAGGGGAAGTATGGAGGTGGCTCGGATGAAGCTTCCATTAAGAACGGCCGATATATGGAATGAAAAACTGTTATGATGTGGAATCACTCAGCCAATTAGACAAGGTGTATCAGATGATATAGAGATCTATACAAGACGTGGTTGGTGTGGTGACATGATAACAGTTGCATGTGGATGATTTGAACAAGAATGTAAACTATTCTACGGATATGATGGAATATCTTACATCACAAGATGGAATATTCTACTAGCAATTAGACAGATGAGCTTTAGGTATAAATAGGAGTATTCCCCTTCATGTAGATAGCAATCATCGGTAAACGAGTCTAATAAAGCGAACACATATCATTGTCCACTTCATAATAGTGTCAAGTAAATAATATTGATAAAGCAACTGCTTGTATGCAATTCCTCTCCTCTAATCATAGTAAAACCCAAAAATGGTGCCAATACGAATAATCGGATTGACTGATGATCAAGGATTCACTTCGGTCACCAGTAAGAAAACCGAAGGACTCGAAAGGGGGCCAGGACGACTGCGTGAGGTATTCGAAGCTCCAGTGGCACCACCATCGGGGCCAACTCTTCCAACACCTCGTCGACCAATGCCGAGTGAGGACGTGCCTTCACTATTCAACTTCTCCTAGTGATAGTCTGATTGAAGAGGGAGTCAACAAAATCTGTGGAAATTTTATGAATTTACGGTTGGAGGAAACGTACTCAGCATGAAGCCTGGTCAGTTCAGCTTGGCAGGACCTCGGGGTTTGTTAACAGATTTTTCCGTAACCAAAGCGACTTATCGTCTTCATGGTTCTGTATATAGACACCGCATAGGACGATCAACAAGACCAGTTCAACGTCATGTAGAGTAGATGCCCAGTGTGCCTTAGGCAGTGGCACATCTGTAATTTAGTCTACCGACAAGTATTCTATCGTTGAGGATTGAATCAAGTAATAACCAACTACAGATTTCACCTAGTCTACCGATTCAGATCTGACTAATCAGGCAAACGCATAGATTTATATTTGCACTTAGACCTTATGTCAGCTTTGGGAGAGCCCTTAGCATAGTGATTGGTTGAGAATGTCACCGCTTCCATTCATCTCGAGATTGGCCCACGTTTCGTTGGTCAGAAAAGCGAGATAGTGACGGTTGATAAGCTCTTCTACATGTGTAATTGAATGAATACTGAGGGGCTTTACTATTGAACGAGGGCTACGAACATACCGGAAGTGAAGAAATAATGCTAGGGCCGAGGCTAAACTTAGCCCATCGGTCGGGAAGACGTTTTATCTTACATGGCATCACGCTGAGAAATGGCAAGCAATTAAAGCAACAAATTAAGGCGCATGAGTGTGGGAGTAATGATCATAGGCGAGTTGGATGGTGCATTGATACACCATGCGGGCCGTACTCCCAAATTGATACTGAGTAGCTCGAACACCTACTCCATTTGAGAAAAGAGAGGCTGCTTCGAATCCTGTAGCACCCACGCACCACTCTTTCTCGCGGTGCTACTGTTGATGTGGGGTGAAGATAGCACCCACAGATGGCCACAAGGAATTCACGCTTTTCCCTGTGGTGGGTATGCACGTAAGAGGTTGCTAGCCGTATGGGGTAACCTCGAGTTCTGCACTTGAACTCTGAGTGTGAGTGTTCTGGAGGTAAAATTATATCATCCTATTCAAAGTACGCATTTTTCGATAGAAACCTGCCTGACCATATAACCGACAAATCATGATAGCTGAATAATTTATTCATTCAATAACAAAGGCCGAAAATTCCTCTGAACGTTTGACAGGAGGAAGGATTGTTCGCTGATGACCTGTTTATACACTGGGTGGTGTTTGCAGATATTTCTACAGAGGTACTCTGATCTCATCTATTAAATAAACAGACATCCAAAAATATCGAATATTAAGCATCCTCCGTCAATGTCAGATGATATTGAAGTTCGTTGTGATTATTACTTTATATAACAATCGTCAATACCAGTCTAGTAAATGCTGGTCCACGCAGCACGGTCATCCCCTGTCGATGAGGGCTAGCACAAGGGTGTTTCCAAACCCTTTAAGCAAATATCTCGCGCCACTTAGATCCAATCTTGAGGGCCAAGTCTGAATAGCTACTACTGCGAGAACTAACCTGGAAACTTGAGCCAGTCGCATAGTTTATCAAGCTTATGTGATTGGTCCTTTTGTATCCTGCCACTGCTGTGGTTCCGAACCTTGGAAGCTGAGATTCCTTGAGGCCCAGCAAGATCACTTCCAGTGTGTCTACTTCTCTCGCAGCGCAAGTCCTCTACCGGTCCGAGGTGAATAATTTTACCCTAAACTGTCATCTTTCAAAGCTACTACTAATTGCCGGTAGGATGCGTAGCAGATATCGAGACAAATTTCTTGAGAGATGAGGGCATAATTCTTAAGCCAACTTTTAAAGTGTGGGCATGTTCAATAATGGGGGTTTACGTTGGTATAGCCATATATTAAATAAAATTAATATGCTGGTAAACGCCTTCTATAGCAGACAACTCGTGCGAATGCTAATTAATGTTCATTCCATAATGATGTTTCTTACATGTCTATTATAGTACTGCGACAACCCAACACTAAACAATGCAGAAAAAACCTTCCAGTGGTGCCGGCGAATACGCTCTGTATGCTCTGCATATTCAGGTTAGCTGAGAAGAATCGCATCCGAATGGAAATCGGAATCAAACACAAGCATTCCTTTATCCAATCACTTCTCATCAATGTCGGTCCAACCGATCTCCTACGCATCCTCCAACTCACTTCTGCTACATACAATCTCGCTTCAACAACCAATCAAGAAGTAGCTCTAACTAGAGCAGAAAGTTCCCTTTGCTACCAATTGGCTATCTCCCGCTTTTAAGTTACGGTGCTATGTATACCCACTAGGAGAATATTAAGTGATGACATACAGTGCTCTGATCTCGGCTTGCAAGGGAAGGTTCCTCCAATGAGGCTTCACAGATTGAGTGATGACAGGCAACTGGGGTGTGGAACGATAGAGGGGAGAGGTCTCTACTAGGCAGGCTGGGGCTGACGTTTTCCAGTGATTTTTGACTTTGGAGTGTTAGTGGGCGCCAGGATCAAGATTTTAGGCAGAGCTCCCGGCACTTTAAACATAGAGCACACTGCTGTGGATGGAGGTGTAAGAAATGTACTCTAATCATTACGGCAACAATTGGCCCAGGTCAAGTCGTTTACGTCTGAATCGATCTCTTGGTGGGTAACTAAGCTGAATGGCCGGCCATCATGGGCATTATATTGGAGATCTCTTTTCATAAAAAAGGGGATAGGAGCGCTGTACAAGGAATAGCGTGTACCAGAGAGTAGCCCAATGTGCTGGGTAGGAAATGACTCAAGTTGCACAATGACACCAAAACCATTCATCTCTTGGTGGATGACATTAGGGGATTCGGGCCAGGCGCAGGCTGTGGATCTCGAATTTGTGATTTTTGTTCCTGGTGCGTATTAAATTGTTAATCTTGGTGATGCTGACTCTCCCGAGATCAACTGCGCGTGTCATGTTAAATTAGAGGGAGAGATTGTGCCTGAAACGCTTACATAATTATCAGTCGTCGCCAACTATTCCAACACCCCTTTGCCTACGCTCCATACTTACAGCTAAACCATCAGCAGCTATCCTACCTCCGCACACCTCTCGTCAACTACTCTCCGGCTCCAGTTGGCCACAAAACATGCGCCTACGTTGATATCCACACTAGCCGGAGGAAACATCCACGATGCGCAAATATGGGAGACAGTCCTTCGGGATGGGCGGAAGAGAAATCAGAACAACTTTATGAGATGATGCAAAGGAAGGAAACAATCTCGATGTGTGTAAGAATTAGAATTTGGCCAGGAGTTTCACAAATCGAAGAGCATTGTGCGCGCCAAGGCTTTCGATTATTAGACTGCCGCTGACACTATAAAAGCAAGCCAAGATGGAAGGCGCCGTGATCCGCCTCCTGGCAGTGATCTTCTGTATAGTTTAGGTAGCCCGGCCACTTACTTCACTTGGGCTCAGAGGCCCCTGCTCATATTTCACGCAGAGAATAACTAAGAGGTTAAGATTTTTCCGTGAGTATTCACGGATGAGGGCTGGCTTTGGGTGGAGAAAACGCCATAACTTTCGCTATGGTACTTGCTAATGAAATCCAAGGCCTAATTGCTCTAGTTTAATTTGGGTAATCTATTCTATCATGGTTAGATAGCTGCATATGCAATCAAAGTTCGATGTAAAAAAGCGCCTATTCAAGGCTAGAGGCAAATCATCGTTCAGTACATATCCATCTTCGACATGGTTATGGAAGAGCTATTACTTTAGTTTGACCCAGACAACATGTTTAATGTCAAACTCAGTACTGCCAGGTATGGTCATCGATATCAAAGAGCCGCCCTTTACTCGTACCTTGTCTGCGTAATGTGATGGATAAATGGGACCACATTTTATCCAGTTTGTTGCATTTTATACTTTTTTGGCATCAGATTTTAGTTGCGTATGCAGCTATCTAGCTAGAGCACAATATCGGACAAAATCAGCAGGAAAGATGACTCAATATAAAAGAAGGGTACTCATGCCTCAGATTTTATTTGCAAATACCACTGCGAAGTTATGGTGACTTTTTCATTACCCCAAGTCAACCCTCATTCGTAAAAAGCCATCCGGGGAAACGCCTCAAAAACTCCAAGTTATCCAGACATGCCCCCATCATCCACTGAATTCTCTCCGCGCGAAATGTAGTCTGAGGCGTCTCATTCCCAAGTGGAGTAGGTGCCCAGGATACTCTAACTACACTGGACAACATCACGTTGCATGATATCATCAGAGCCTGAAGATAAATGTCGCTTTAGTATCTCAACTTTATCTGGCCATATCTTAGGCCATACAAACGAAACCATCTAAACCCGTCTACACCCTAGAGCTGCTTGATTGGTCTCGACAAGACAGTAAGTTTCGTCTCATCTGGACGATCAGAGCACTTGAGATTTCCCCATCAAGTTAAATACCGACAAGTCCGAATACCCAGTGAAACTCTTTCGTGTGCTGTGTCGATAAATTGTTCTCAGACTTAGGTATCGCTCGCAAGAGTTTTATACATCCTCATTCCTTCTGGGTACCTAATTATTCTGATATCAGAGTTGCTTTAAGCCTGCATCTCATCATCGCACCTCCGGGTAACAATCGTCTTTACGAACAAATATTCTGCCGCAATATTATACGCTTTTGGTATATATATTTCCTTCAGACTATCACGAATAATGCCACATTTCCACCAAAATTAGGGGGGACTATTCCCAACATCTGTCAGTGGTGTCCCATACGAACCTCCAGCTTTCACTGTAGAGTCTTCAGAGCCGAGTTTGAGTAACAGAGTCCTCACTTCCATGAGAATTCCCAATCGCTTTCGCGGTCTGTATCGTCTTCATCCCTAAGCACATTCCCCTAACACTATGATCATGAAGCTAACCACGATCAGATCAGATGGTAGGGTCGGAGCCCTACTCATCACCAACCCTTGATCATGGAGGAAAAGCCATCCGATGAGTTTCCGGAGTGTACCCAGCACCCGATAGGCATATGGCGGATTGGATCAAGTCGACCTAGACTGTTACAAAGAAGGGAGATATAGATGAATATGCGCACCTCATATGGTCCCGGTGTCTAGGCCTCGCCTGGCTGGGGCTGCAGATTTTTTGAGACTTTTTCCCGCGCACGCAGTTTCCATTGCGACCATTTTTATTATTTTTGGGTAGAAGGTTCCGTGGAAAAGGTGGCCGAATTCCACGGGTAATCACTGAGCTGAATGGCTATGCATCACTGTCAATATATCAATGATCTTACAAATACTAAGAGAGGATAGGAGCATTTTACAAATTGTGGCCTGGGCCAGAAAGGAGCCCAATGTGCTAGGTAGTCCAAGACTCAAGTAGTAAAATAAATAAACCTCTCTCTCTCCACCAAAGCTTTCGTTGTAAAGAATGCAGTGAAGTTATGGTTGTGGAAATGGATCGCATGGCTAGTTTGGTCTGAGATAGGTTTATGAATCACAATTGATAGTATTATTGTGAGCAAGGTATGAGTAGGTATGAAATGTTGAATAGTTTAGGGATAGCAGAGAGAGTGGATAACGATTATCAGAGCTTGATGATATGATGAATAGTTTAGTTACGATCATCTCCATATCACGGTGGTAGACAGCACTTATATACACATATTTGGTACCCGCTATACAGTACATCACCGTCTATGCAGGAAGCACAACAGTCTTAATTTCATGCCAAACTATCCCACATTACTATATACTATTGTATAGAGCTATGCCCCAATATTCGATCGTAATGATGGCCATGTAGGGCTATGCAGTACTCGAATAGATTTGCTGTATCCTAGCATTTGGCAGAGATAAATCTAGAGTAAATGCAATAGTCGCATCACAAGTATGGGCTCAAATCACTAATACGTAAAGATCCATCAACCACTATGTTTATGCGAATGATCTTTTGGTGGAACTTTGGGCCGTAGTGAAATACTTTGAGACCGATTTTCAACTGAACTATCGTGTTTAAATCTTCCGGGCCGACGATTCATTGAACCTGATTAAGCCTGCCGCTATCCACGAATGGCTTCCGACTCTAGGGAATAATTTGGCATCACAATTCGTAGATGACGCAAGAGACTGGTATTTACATTCCGTCGTGCGCGCCCGTCTGAGATAGATTTGAATCCTATCCGTATCAGGCCTATGCCCTCTGTCCGAGGGGCGTGATACGGCTAAGTGGTCCCAATGGGCTCGCATTTGCCCATATGACAAAGCGCTTTTGGGGTAGAGGTAAATAGTCCAAGCAAACATGAAGTTTTGCCGTCCGATATTAATGTTTGTTCTGCAAAAAGTTCTTGGCTCGCGCAGAGAAAACTTGGAGTGTCCAATCTTCGCTAGGTTTGGTCTGATAGAAACCATTCCCATTAATAGCTTATTCAATCCCTCGGCCTCATCCTCTCGTGAGAGGCCCTTCCTGCCTGAAAACAATTCAACTCATGATCCGTCTGGAATAGCTGACCAATATGCTATATTCGCAGAGATATTTACAGGGAAGATGGGGTATGGCTGGATACTATGTGCCTCTTATTGTGTCTAGTCAGGCGTGTCTTGAACTATCTCTCGCTGTCTAATTTCGGTCTACCTTGGTCATCTGTGGGAGAAGCTGACCAATTTTGCTCACAAATTACTCAGCACTTAAGCTCTGACGAGTCTGCTGCAGCTCACTCTTTGATGTCTGGCAATGTTTGTAAGAGTTCTTGACAGATTTCAGTCGCAAGTAATATCGGAGATCTTTGAGACCTCAATTCGACATGTGAGTATTCTCCGGGAGAGGACCTTTGAGGGTAAGCGGACTGATAAGAGAATGGTTTGCGGAATCGGAATGGCAAATATAAACTTTAAATTCAGGTAGCTGATGGCTTGTGTTCGGTTCGTGATCTAGAACAGTTTGATATTTTAGCACGCGGTGAACGGTTGACAGACACGGTCCAAAAATTTCATACAACTTCAAACTTGTTCTCGCTGAGAATGTCAACAACGCATACAACCCTGGGGAGTGCTGCAGAAGAGAGAAAGGCGCGTTTGGCCAAGCTAAAATCTCTAAAACGCAAACAGCCAAATGATGAAACCTCATCTGAACAACCACCTCCGATTTCAGGTCATGACGTCTCGAAACTTCATCTCTCTGGCCGCAACTACGATACAGAAACTAAAGGACCCAAACTAGGCTTCGATAGTCGCCCAGACTTAGCTTCCGACAAAACCCTAGAGCAGCAAGCTAAAATTATTGAGGAAGAAATTCGGGTAAAATCCCAAGAAGGTCAGGAAGATTCTGTGGTCGACCTGTTCAAGCTACAACCCAAAAAACCAAACTGGGATCTAAAGAGAGATCTAGAGAAAAAACTGGATATACTAAATGTCCGCACAGACAACGCTATCGCTCGTCTCGTTCACAATCGTGTGAAGGGAGCTCAGACAGAATCCAAGTTACAGCCTAATTCGAACACCATAAAGGACAAAGGTGGATGGGAAGATATTGGAATGGACGGGGCATCATTTCTGGAAGGTGTCAAGCAGAGAGAGAGAGAAACTGTGGAAGACGAAAAGCGGGAGAAAGAAGAACAGACAAAGTGGAAGTAGATCCAACGATCTCTGGACAACATAGAGGTCACTATTAGTACATCTGTACCGTCAAGGAGTGAATATTTACGGTGCCACACCTGCACAAGTATGCATCTTTACTGGTAACATTTAATGACACAGAGGTCAAAAGTACCAATGAAGGAAAATAGAATCAAGAACTGCGATTTTGTCGTTCTGCGTTCATGGCTTGTGTTAAAGCTAAACGTTTGCTGAAAGGGCTCAGACTCAATTCTCTGGAGTTGTGCGGATCCTTTTTCTGACCATTACGTTCCCGTACATTGTCTTCTTCTCGTCCTTGGTTGTCTATTAGGCCATATCCTGGCTTTTCAACTGGTCTTTCGATTTCGTCTCTCCTGCCTTTTGCTGACGGATTAACAGCATCTTTATTGTGTTGCGCTTCTGTCTGCATAGAGAATCTATTCTTTGGTGAGGAAGCTGGGTTGTCGCTAGAATGAAGTTCCTGGCGTCTTTTCCTTTCTTGATCTACTTGATCAAATGATAATTCTGTCGTCCGACTTAAATTACCCTTAGATTGTGACATGTGTTCCTGTTTTGAAGATAATTTGTTGGTCATTTTACGAGACGAGTTAGCTTTGTGACGAGGCGGAGGAGATTGAGATCGGGATGAGCAGGTTGATATAGTAGAAATTGAAGCAGAAGATATTGAATCATCACGCCGTCTAATTTTTTTGGCTGCTACGTCTTCATCACTTTGAGGAGACCTTCTTCTTCCTCTTTCCTTTAAATTTGCGAGTTGTTCGTCTGCTATGCCCTTTCTTTAGGTGTTCGGAATGTTAGCCCTACAACCCAAGATACTTCAGAACGTAACGTACTTTCGGGTCAGCTCTTGGGGAACAGCACTAGTCAATTGGGGAACGAGTTTCGGATCGAAAAATTGCTGAGTCCTGGAAGGACGAGATACGTATGGCCTCTCTTGCGCAACTGCCTTGCATTCATAGCTGTAGTGGCCTTTTTTTAAACATTTTTGGCATAGAGTAGATGGTGTTGCTTTGCTAGGACCCCCAAAGCCAGTTCCTCTTGCGTTTCGATTCATCACAAGTTGAGATCTATCTAGAATAGGGGTGTAGGAACTATTAATTTGGTCTAACACGATATCTAGTGTTTGTAACGTTGTGGGTCGTAGGACTAAACGCTATATGGACGCTTTGACTTAAGTTGTCTAATTAGCGCTAAACTGTCTACCACAGTGTGCGCATTTTGAAATGCTAAGCCCACGAGATGGCGGTCACATACTCAACAACAAACTCCCACCATATTATACGAACCATCAGAAATTGAAGCAGAAGCATTTCTTGAATCACCCAAGATTACTATTTACATGATAGGACCCTAGGATATCATCCCCAAGATTGGTTTCCTAATCTAGTGGACGACATCCACACAATTCTTAATAGCAGTCTTCTCAGCTATAACAATGACTGGATGTTTCCTCTATGCATCGGGATCTGCCGTTAATTTTCTTCCTTAATCAGATATATTGAAAAACTTTGGCTTTTGTTCTAGCCATCGTTTGGCTGCGATCTGAATTTGTCCAAACCGGGCCTACGCTCATTTCGGTAATTGAATCGGCTTTGTTTATCAACATTCTAACAAATACTCTGCTCCAATGTCTGCCAACGCGTCGCGATTATCTTTTGCCAAGGTATAATTTTTTTGATTCAATATTTGCTGCATTCTATGCCCTAGCTCTTCGTTAATTCTTACAACTCTAGGTGGCTGCATCCGCTGGAAAAGATAACGTTTCACTAAATCCATATGTAAGGATCAACGGATCTAATCTGCGTGATCATAGAAACGATAATCGAAATTTGCAACAAAATCAGCACGCTTTAGCCGAAATGAATGGCCAGCTCAATGGGGACTTGAGTAACAACAAAATTACTTCTAACGAGAAATCACAACCTGCAGAGATCAAACGCACAAATGAGAGTACTCAAACATCCCTTAGACCCGAAGCAAGTGACAAGGTGGCGAATTTAGCAGAGGCTGTTAAGGCTCTTAATTTTGGTCCTTCACCGCCTGGCTACGCTGTTAATGGCTCAGATGTTTTGCATCGCAGCACAGCCAATAATTTTGGAGAAATTATCGATAGTTCATTTCAGCGTTTGGAACGTGGAACTGAGTTTGGCTCCAAACCATCAGCTTTTGATAAAAATAGTATTGCATTTTCTGTTGACGAGAAAGAATATTCAGGTCACGATAACTGTGCCGTTTCAAAGCCAGCTGAAGACATTGATTCTTTCCCAGGACGTGGTCACCTGGCTACAGGACTAAGAATGGAATCAGAGATTGCTACTGCTGCACACCTTGTGCAATTACATGAAGTTCCTGAATGCGTTAACTTTTCAAATATTCAAGAGCATCATCATCACCAGGTAACCAGTATTCCCAAAAATGGCACGCTGGAAAAGCAGACCATGGAGGAAAGAAATCCCAAGACTATATCCGTGACTCCAGGCGTTCCGGAAGGTTTCAATTTATTTTATCGTCAAACACCTGACGATAAGCTGTTGGAAGCGTTAGACTCTGTGAAAGATCGCATATTTCTACTCAGACTGGAGCAGGACGTAATCGAATTTGTCAGATCATCAAAGTAAGAAAATACATCTACTAAAGACCTCTCAGATTAACCCTTTCTAGGGAACCATTTATCGATCTTCCACCATGCAATTCCTTTTGTCGAATGCTCACCCACAAGCTTGCAGACTATTATCATATGACACATCAGGTTGATGCCGTAGCTGGTGCCGTACGTATATTCCGTACTCCATTCTGCAGATTACCTCCATCCTTGACGAGCCTCTCAAACCCGCCCGCATCTGGAAATACCCCACCACCAACTACCATGAAGATAATGCGCAGAGGAGGTGACTCAGGCCCTAGCCCTTCGAAGGCACTTTCAGAATCTGGAAGCGACGGAAAAGAAAAAGGCCTCTCAGCTAAAGAGAAGTTTGAAATCCTTACTCCAACCACATAAGTCGGGACTAACACAGCCAGACTTTCTCGAGAAGAAAGAGAGGCCGCATATAACAAGGCCAGAGAGCGTATATTCGGTAAAGATGAAAAAAACGGAGAAGCAACCCCAGGTATTCATTGCCAAATTAAAATTTTCTTCCTAATACTCACAAGTAGTAGATACTGAAGAAGGAAACGAGATGTCACGGTCAAGTTCTGTATCCACCAAGGATCGAACAAGTCACAACAAAAGATCTAAGCCCCTAAAGCAACGACGTGATGATTCCGAAAACTTTGATTCGAGATCACAGTATACACCATTCTTCCCACAGCCGCAAGGACCGACATGGATACCATCAGCACAGTACTCTCCTATCGGAACGCAATCTCTATGTGGAAACAATCGAAATTATCAAAACCCTGTCTCTCCACAATACTCCACAGCACCTATTCAGCAGTTAGGCTCTACAATGATTACCACTAGTGGTGTGCAGATATTCAACTATCCCCAGGTAACTGAAGTTAATTTTGTATTATTCCATCTTGCTTACATTTATTAGTATCCAACACAGGCCACGCAGAGCTCCCAAAACGCACAACGCTTTCCCCAAAACCCTCAGATTAACCCTTTTGTCTCACCAGTACAATCACCCCCACCTCCCCCTCAGCCCTGGTCACAAGCTTTATATCAAAATCCATACCAGCAGCTTGGGCCAACTACTAGGGGAACTTCTAACTCTATCCCGTATCCGTTTGGCCAGTTGCCAGGAACGACAAATCCGGCCGATTCAAAGAGCCAACACCCAATTCCAGGCAGCTTCAATCGACATGCTTTCAATCCTAAGACACAGTCATTTGTACCAGGTAGTGTCGGCGTCAATGCATCCCAACAGACTTCCCACAATGGACCGCCTCATCACGCAGCGCCGATTATTAGTTCACCCAGACCTTCCTTTAACACATTTAATGTCCCACAGCAACAATTCAGTAATGGAATGGGCTACAATATGACACGACAAAGCTCGAACAGTTATATGCCACCATATCAGGTTTCTCCGCTCATGTCACACCGTCCACTAATGCATCATGGAATGCCGCAAGTCCCGCCTCAAGGTATGTCGCACGGAATCATGACGGGAATACCGCAAAACATTCCGCAGGGTATGAGTGCGACGCTTAACGGGCAGATAGGTAACCACTTGCCAAACTACGGTAATTCATCAACTCTACCTCCAAAACCTCCAACTGGCATTTGAGGGCGCTCAGTTTTATTATGAGAGGGTGATGGCGTACGGCAAGAATTGAGAGGAGTTTAAGGGTATTCAAATGATAGTTCCAGGTTTACGAAGTCGAGCTGTAGGACTCTTCAATAAAATACATGTCACTTAATTAGAAAAAGTAGGTTATTGCAGAGGAATGAAAGCCCACATGAGATGATTCCCCAATACCTTAAACGCCTTGCTTTTCCATCCTTTTTCCGAGCTTCTAGATATCTACTTAGGTGCAGGGTCGTATGGAAAACATGTTGGAATCAAAATGTTTGAACTATTCTTCTCTCGGTTCTCGTTGCTGTGCACCTCCCCGTCCTCCACCACGCTTGCCTCCTTTGTGTCCCCCACGCTGCCCTCCCTTTTGATCTCCTGTATCTCCGCCACCCGCTGCTAATGCATCTGAACCTCCCATAGTGAGCGCAGATGTCGCTAATCTTTGTGAGAGTTCGATCTGAGTACGAATTGTATTGGCCAAGTATGATACCATAAGGACATCTTGGATGTGGTTGTTGAAGTCCCGTTCAATATCTTGGGGGTTGACCTTTGGAGCCATGGAGAGAGCGTTTCGAAGAAACTGACCTAGAGCGTTTGAAGAATCCGTCTCTTCATCAATAACATTGTTAACATATTCTGATACGCGCTCGATTAAGTCTATAGTTTGATCGACTGTTTGTTCTAGGCTTTCGATATCTGATACGACTGGTGCGCTGCGGATATCACTATCTTTGGCGGCCGATATGAGCTCGAGTCCGCTCTTTTCGGCTTCACTGTAGCGAATCTCGTGCGGGACGGGAATGAAGAGGCAGCTCTCCGCTGCTCGCTCGGCGTTGACGCCGACGGGCGCCGAGATATAGGCCTTTGTCACAATCTCCTTTCCGGCGTCGGTCGAGACAGTAAGATGGATGGCAGGATGCGGAAATGTTCCCGTCTCAGAGCTCACGAAGAAATTTTGGATCAGTGCGCTGAAGTTGTTGAGCTCGAGGCTTGTCGTGTACCAGCCGAGCAGGACTTCGCGCGGGTTGGCCTTGAGTTGTAGGGCGAGCATATTTTTTTGGTACTCAATGTCCACCTCAACTTGATCCTCGTTTTCCGTATGGGGAATGGCGAAGCTATTTCGCACCTCCATCTCTAGGGTATCTTCGGAGCGCGTGCCGAGCAGCGCTCCGATGACGCGGGTCGACTGCGTGTCTCGAATGTCGCGGCGCATGGCATGGTCAAGAATGGAGAATATTGCCTTTTCACGGTCAGCTGAGTGATACCCGGCGCTGGGGCAATGATTGTACTTGTGGCTGCAGAATAACATTTAAGGGAGAGGTGGTCGGCTGTACTCCAATTACCGCAGGGGCAAGGGGCCGGGCCAGATGTATGAAGGAGGCTGAAGAGGCCACCATCTTGCACTATCAAGACGTAGATTCCAGTAGGCTGAGAAGGTTGGGTCGCTTGGGTATTAGAATGTTGGAAGACTTGTCTGTCTTCGACCTACTGAGGGCTTGGTGGGTTTCGCTAATTTCAGATACGCGCGATGAGTTGACAGTCATGTGACTATCCCACGGAGGTGAGTCGAATCAAACCTCCACCACGTTCGAAATTTGAATCCAACTAGTTGGTTTGTTTGAACCCATGCATTGACTTCTTTATGCGGGACATTGATGTGCAAACTGCTATCACTATAACCTACTGTGAGCTAAGAAGGTTAGCAGCCTCCTCCAGCCATGGTTCAGTCAAATTCCGGCGCAAACAAGATGTTAGCCTGCGAGGCAATAATCCATTCCTCCGCCTGTCAATAGAGCTTGGCCTGAGCAAACTTGCTATCTATCTACAATTATAGCCACACACAGGCTCTGAAAATTGCTGAATCCCTAATTTGCTCGAAACCCGATCTTTGTTGGTCCCCACAAAAATGTCTCCAGATGCAGTGATGGCAGATAGAGAGAGCATAGGCTAAAATATGAAAAGTTGAGTAAAGGTGATCTCTCACTTTTTTGGACTTACAACTCGAAGCTAGAGATCCCGCATTTGAAGGATATCCACCTCTACTAAATTGAAAACACAGTTCATTTTGTAATCTAGACATTACTAAATGAGGCATGGCCATTTTGCTTGATATTCCAGACGCATCCACCCCCTGAAGCCGAGACCAGATGCTCTTACCGAATGGATGAGACACATCACCATTCTACCTTTACTTCGAGCCAGATAAAGGCGGAAATTTTCAATTATCCTCATCCTACGTGGCCATATGTGCAGGATTAGTTGCAATTAAAGGAGCTAATTTCCTCTCGCTTTGTACATAATAATCCTACGATACCCCTAGTCTTCCATGCTTGCTCAAGCGCGAGTCTGGCTAAGATGATGAGGCTTTTACCACTCCCCATGCTAGTATTACGTTCCAGAGAGTTGAGCAAGCGAAGGAACAGACAAATCTGTATACATGCTTGTTTCGCAAACGGGAAGGGAAAAATCTATTGGCTGATGTTACTTTTTCTTCAGGCTTCATTAAGTCTTGTACAAAAATTGGTAGCTGTTCGTCTCAAGGTCTATCTTGGTCTATCTTGGTCTAATCAGATGAAAATTTTACCCTAGTACGGCCATTGCTCTTATATGTTTATTGATAAATTCCCCCCCAAGCAAGTCCACGTTTGGCGATAGTTGGTCTTGTAGGGAATTTCCGGCTGCAGACAGCTTGTAACTAAACGAAGAAATTAAAAATCTGATTTGGTGCTCTCTGAGCCTTTGCAGTCGCCCAAAGACTAGTGTTGATAGTCAAAACAATTTGGTAGAAGGTTCCTGGTTCCTTAAGTTTCATCCCCTACGTTTATTAAAATCTTCTGTTGCTAGCTTCAATCACTACAGTCAAATGAATATGGAGATTCTTAATTTTGCTCTTCAGTATCTTCCACTTATCTCATATCCATCTATTTATCAACTCCGCTGTGCCTGCTACAATTGAATGCAATGGTCATCCTGGGTCCAAAATTCTGTACGCTTGCATTCTCTAGCCTTCAGCATTGTTCATGAAAGCCTTGAACGATAGCTGATTGGCTACACATGCCTCTCTGCTTAAATGGCATGGATAGCCTCCAATTGGGCGCTGGATATTCTCAGTCACTGAAATCTTTTTCGGGAGGTCTTTAATTGCTAACTGTGTGGTTAGTATCAGCTATACAGCTATGGCAAATCAACAGTGTTTTGGATACATGTAAAGTGTTCCATATGATTGAAGAGGCTCACGGTCGGCATCTCACTCGCAAATACCACCCCGAGGAATGTTTGTTTCCAAAAACTAGTCAACTCTCACCTGTGTGAGTTCACTAAAATAAAAATTGAAAAAATTTTGTCACCACGTACACGACCACCGCGAAACTTGACGTTGGATCTTGCAAAAATCAAGCCGGACGTACTCAAATTCAAGTAGCTTTGCCATCTAAGCTACCAAGAATTACTTGGGAGAAAATTTCTATCCGTGTGCTATGACAGTATTCGGCCGACTAGAGACTAGTGCTTGTAAAGAAACTTTCAAAAGTTAAAGAAATCCTCTAACGTTTACACAAGACGTTATTCATATATCAAGGCTAGACAGCTGTAATCTGGCAAGTTTTCAAGTAAACTATGGAAATAATGCCAGTGAGTCACAGTTGTTGTGGCGAGTGCTGGTATAGGCTGCGGTAATGAAAATTCTCGAAGCCCCTTCTTTGGAAGGAGGTTAACGATTTAAGGAAAATCCACAGTTACCATTGAAAATTCTTGAAAAATTACAGCGCCCATCCAAAAATATTCAGGCTCTGGTAGGATCACTGAATGAGTATTTCAAGAATTACGGCTGAAAGTTGAAAGGATTATCACAGCACTCAACGAAGATTCATAGTATAACAGTCTATTCCGCGCCGCGTTCAAAGTCACAGATATAGTCCTGTTATAACGGCCGAATCTGAACTAATTAACTGTAAGAATTTGGCGTCACATCGCTTTTTTCTCTTCTCTAAGAAAATGTACAGCTTATAAGGCGCTCGTGATTTAAAAAATATATCGAGCTACCTTTGGAATCTTGCCCGGGCCGTCCGCAAGCGATCTAACCTTGCGCTCTATCCAAGATCTTGCACAGGCCTCGAGAAATATAAAAAATTTTACCAGCGTTATTAATTTCCCAAGCACTCTGGATACTGTTCGACACGGGAGGCCTCTTTAAATTCGTAACTGAGGGCGGATGTTTTTAAATTATATTATATTCAGCTATGAAACCTGGGTGCGGCTTATATCAATCATTAAATAGGGTCCTCCTCTTCACCAACGTCGTGCTTCATATGCATAATTCTAGATCAAAGTTATAGATTCTGTGAAGTAAGAGGTTAGACATCATCGAAAGCCTTAACTGCCTGCATTATTTTCTTTCTGCGCATTATAGAACATATCGCTGGCAATAGCAAAAGATCTGAATATCCGGATGATACCCAAAACTTCAAAATTCAATCATGACCGATGTGATGTTTTTATTGTACTACTCGAGTCATAGACTATCTAGCACATTGTGCTCCTCTCTGACTTAGGCCACACCTTGTACAGTGCTCCTTGCCTCCTATGTTACTTGAAAGATTTTTGGTTTGGTGTCCGTGATGAATAGCCATTTAGTTGAGTAATCACCCGTAGAATTCAACCTTCTTTTCGACGAAACCTTCTACCCAAAAAAACCAAATGGTAGCAGCGCGAACTGCGTGCCGCGGCAAAAAGTCTCGAAAACCCTGCAGCCCCAGCTAGGCGAGGCCTAGAAACCGGGACCATAGGAGGTGCGCATACTCATCTACATCTCCCTTCTTTGTAACAGTCTAGGTCGACTTGATCCAATCCGCCATCTGCCTATCGGGTGCTGGGTACACTCCGGAAACTCTTCGGATGGCTTTTCCTCCGTGATCAAGGTTTGGTGATGAGTAGGGCTTCGACCCTACCATCTGATCTGATCGTGGTTAGCTTCATGATAATTGTGATAGGAG